CTTCTGAAGAAAAGATAGAGAAAATATTTAAAACAAAAGGACTATTTCAGGGAGACCTGTGGGACAGCTTCAAAAGATATAACATTTATGTCACTACTCAGGGGAAGAGAAGAAATTGCTGTAGAAAAAATATTTGAAGAAATAAATCATGGCTGAACACTTCCTAAATTTGATAAAAAAACATAGATTTCCAGATTCAGGAGTCAGTGAACTCAACAGAATAAACTGAAAGAAAACCATGTCAAGATACATTATAATCAGAGTTCTGTAAAATAAAGAAATACTCTTGAAAGCAGCCAAAGAGTGGTTCTTTACCTATAGGGAAACAGTGATTTGAAAGAGTGGATTTCTCACTAGAAAGTATGGAGGCCAAAATGCAAACTTATCAAAGTGATGAAAGAATTACATATCAAGTGAAAAGAACTTCAGGCAATAAAGTGAAAGAAGCTTACCCGAGTTTCATTAGATGCCTTTATTTTAACAACAGAGAGATGTTAAAGACTTAATAATACACAAGCTTTGTAAGTTATATTCTGAAAGAGCAAATTAAAAGTTTATTTACCTTTAATTTTGTTACACACATACATTTAAATATTTATGTTGCTCTTCCTACCTGACTTCATTTGAATGATTTTAGAGAACCATTTCATATGTTTTGTTTTTTTCAGTGAATCTTGAGGCTTACTCTCTGATACTCTCTGTTAGCAGGAAAACCGAAAGCGTCATGGCTCTAGTCGAAGTGTAGTAGATATGGATTTAGATGATACAGACGATGGTGATGACAATGCCCCTTTGTTTTACCAACCTGGAAAAAGAGGATTTTATACTCCAAGGCCTGGCAAGAACACAGAAGCAAGGTTGAATTGTTTCAGAAACATTGGCAGGTAAAAGAACTCTAATCTTGTGTTTGAATTTTTTTTTAAATTTCAACTTATGACACTTTCTAAAATATGTTTGTTTTAAAATGTATATAGGCTGGGTGCGGTGGCTCACACCTATAATCTCAGCACTTTGGGAGACCGAGGTGGGAGGATCACCTGAGCCCAGGAGTTGGAAACCTACCTGGGCAACATGGCGAAACCCCATCTCTACTAAAAATACAAAAAAAATTAGCCGGCATGGTGGTGCACACCTGTGGTCTCAGCTACTTGGGAGGCTGGGGTAGAGCCCAGGGAGGTTGGAGCCACCGTGACTGTGCCACTGCACTGCCTGGGTGACAGAGTGAGACCCTGTCTCAAAAACAAAACACTTGCAGGCTGGTGTTCCTGGTTTGTTTTTTGTTTTTTGAAGTTTATATGCTGTACTTTATACTGGATAGAAATGAGGCTGTAGAGAATTTCTCAAAATATTAATATGTATATTTATGTTTGGGGGGTATATATATTCTAGAATTATTTAAATCTTATTTCTCTGTCTTTATTTTTAGGATTCTTGGACTATGTCTGTTACAGAATGAACTATGTCCTATCACATTGAATAGACATGTAATTAAAGTATTGCTTGGTAGAAAAGTAAGTGATTTTGATGAACCCAGTTGCATTCACAATTGCAAAAATTTTCTTTTATAAAATAATCAAAATGTTAGCATACTGTTCATAGCATTCATTTACTATTAAATCTTAAAGCATTGCAGCCATTGTAAATAACTGTTAACCATTTAATTAAACAATTATGGTCAACAAAAATAAAAAATTACTGAGACAGGAAAAGACTGTGGGGCGATGGCATAGCAGAGTGGATAACACAGGTGGCATTGGAGGTCTGACAGACCTACATCCTGTTGCAAACAAATATGCTGACATTTCTGCCATATTTCCCAATTTATAAACTGGTATGAAACACAACATTGTAAATACCTGGCAAATAGTAAATGCTCAGTAAATTGTATCCACTATTACTTGGCACAACTTGTTGTACCAAGCGGTAGAGAAGGTAGTAGCATTGAAAAGAGCCTTCCAGGCCAAGCACAGTGGCTCATGCCTGACATCTGTAATCCCAACACTTTGGGAGGCCAAGGCAGAAGGATCTCTTGAGCTCTGGAGTTTGAGACCAGCGTGGGCAACATATGAGACCCTGACTCTACCAAAAATTTAAAAAGTTAGCTGAGTGTGGTGGCATGCACCTGTGGTCCCAGCTACACTTGGGAGACTTAGGTGGGAGGATCCGCTTGAGCCCAGGAGTTTGAGGCTTCCATGGGGGCATGATTGCACCACTGCACTCCAGCCTGGGTGACAGAGTGAGACCCTATCTCAAAAAAAAAAAAGCATTTCAACTTCAAAAATACATATAAGAAGCACATGGGAGTAGCCAAAGAATGTAAGCAGTACAATACAGCATGCTCAATACTGATCTCTGGGTGATGGAATTAACTTACCTTCTTTATGTGTTTTTATAGGTTGATAGCCTGCACTTCCCTTTGTGATGGCAGGGGGAAAAGAAAAACCGTTTGCTCTAAAATCAATATACAATGCTAATTTTTCAGCTTTTGATTTAAAACAAAACCACCTACATTCCTAAAAATATTTAGAGAAATTACGTGAAACAAAATAAATGGAATAGACAAAGTTTTTTTTTGCACTCTGTCACCCAGGTTGGAATGTAGTGGCGCGATCTTGGCTCACTGCAACCTATGCCTCCCAGGTTCAAGCGATTCTCATACCTTTAATCTCCCGAGTAGCTGGGATTAAGTTCTTAACTGTTGTCCATAGATTCTTAGAAACTGCAACTTTAATTGAAATGATGTATAATGAAATCAATTTTTTCTTATCAACATTCTAATGAAATGTTATTTGAGAACTTGCTGTTTGTCATTTCAAAGTTGCAGCTAAGAACCTATCAACAGCATCTTTTTTTGAGATGGAGTCCCACTCCTTTGCCCATGCTAGAGTGTAGTGGTGTGATCTAGGCTCACTGTAAACCTCCATCATCTCCTAGGTTCAAGCAAGTCTCCGGTCAGCCTCCCAAGTAGCTGGGACTACAGGCGTATACAACCACACCTAGCTAATTTTTATATTTTTAATAGAGATGGAGTTTCACCAGGTTGACCAGGCTGTTCTTGAACTCCTGACTTCAAATGATTCCTCCACCTCGGCCTCCCAAAATGCTGGGATTACAGGTGTGAGTCATCACATCACTGAGGCTTTGAGGATTTACTTTATAGTCTTTTTCCAGAGGTTCATGTCACACATTTGATAAATAAGCATTGTGTTAAAGCTTAGTCTCCTAATAATTCTCTTTAATCAGACCTACTGATGAGTAATTTCTATTAGTACAAGAATATGATTTTTTTCTTTTTAACTCTGACCCTATTAAATTCTTAACATGTTTGGCTAAAATGTTCTTCTTTGAAGAACTAGACTCAAAGCTTGACAACATAAAATTTTTGATATATTAAGTCTTCAGCAGGAGTTAGTAAACAGCTAATGAATCAGATAGACTCAGGTTTAACCCAATAAAGTGACCTTGGGGGCAAGTTACTAGATTTCCTTGAGCATCAGATTTATCATCTGGATTTAATTATATTTTATGTTACTATCAAAAATAAGGTATATATTAAGTTCAGAGCCAGCTGCTCCCTATAATTAGTGTTTGATAAGTAGTACAAAGTTTTGCAGTTGTAGAACTTAAAACTATTCGGCTTTCATTGTTTTTTCAAAATATAACACTTTTACTTTGAAAAGCAAATATTGTCAGAGCCAAAAATTTATTAAACTTACCTCTTTAAACAGTAATATACCCAGTGGGAAATTTATCAGCATATCTTCAAATTAGATAAAATTCTGTATCATATTATTTTAATTTACTAATTACTTGAACAAAGATGTTGTTCCTTTTATAACTGAGTTTCATATAATTACTTTTTTAGGTCAATTGGCATGATTTTGCTTTTTTTGACCCTGTAATGTATGAGAGTTTGCGGCAACTAATCCTTGCTTCTCAGAGTTCAGATGCTGATGCTGTTTTCTCAGCAATGGATTTGGCATTTGCAATTGACCTATGTAAAGAAGAAGGTGGAGGACAGGTAAAGCAAATATGTACTTTTCTGAATCTGGCAAGAGAGTTTGGTTAAACTGCTGTGCTTGTCTTATGTATAGACAGTTTAGTTAGGGACTGAAAGAGATGAATGTGTGTATACATAGAAGAAATAGATACTGTAGGAGATAAAGATGGATCAAGAGTTAGTGAGACTGAGGTAGAAGGGCTTGTACTTTGTTTTGGCCTAAAATGTTTCCATCTCTTAGATTATGGTCAAATAAAGAATTGTCTTTATATTTTAAATTTTTAGGAACTAGTTTTATACACTGTTGATATTTTACTGCTTTGACAAAATTGCCTTTAAATAGCACTGGTAAATTTTTCACAGGTCGAACTCATTCCTAATGGTGTAAATATACCCGTCACTCCCCAGAACGTGTATGAGTATGTGCGGAAATACGCAGAACACAGAATGTTGGTAGTTGCAGAACAGCCCTTACATGTAAGTGTTTCTTTAAAGTGTTGCGTGATCTGATGAAGCTATTTGTGTATTAATGTGTGGTAAACTAGCAAAGTGTATTCAGCTTGTTTATAAAAGGCCAAGTTTATTAAACCAAAATGAATTTATTTACCTTATAAATTATACCTAAATTTAAGAATCCAAACCAAGTACTTTTTGATAATACTACTTGGAAAAACCATGTCCTCATGAGAAAGTAGTTTTGGCAAACAAAAGTGTGGAAAAGGGGCTTGTGGTACCAAAATGACTGTTTTAGGGTCCTACTGTTTTAGTGGCAGTTAGTGAGACAGACTGAGAGGTACAAAGGCTTTGCCTTTTTGTACTAAAATGTTTCCATCTCTTAGATTCTGGTCAGATGATCCTTTGTCCTTCTGTGTTAGTGGTAGGACCCTAAAACAATCATTTTGTTAGCACAAATACCTTTGGTTTTTTCTTTTCTTTTTTTTTTTTTAACCAAAGCTACTATGGGTAACCTGCTGAAAGAACTCACAGGACTCAGAAGCAGTTGTACTTAATAGTTATTGTTTATTGTAGCAAAAGGACCCACAGCAAGATCAGCAGGGAAAAAACATTTTAGGCAGCAGAGGAATCCAGGTGCAGGCTTTCAAAGTTCTCTCTCAAGGAGGGGCATGAGCTATTTCATCGAATGCATTTCTTCCACCAGTGAGATCTGTCGTCATGTATATGTTATTTGTGCTTAGGGAAGCCCACTTTGGAGTCAGAGCTGTTTTCATTGGAGGCTAGTTCCATGGGCATTTTCTGACTGCACAGCCAGCCATGATTACTGAAATTCCAGAATCCCTGAAGAAAGCACATACTCATCTTGAACTGTATTGTTGGCACAAATAGTCTAGGTAGTCTGATACAGCACGGTTCGTAGCTCCAGCCAGCCCTGTCAGTTAGTAATATTGGAATATTCCAAAAAGCAAGTTCTCAGACGCTAGCCAATGCCAACCCCAACCCTAAAGTCAGGCCCATCTAAAGAGTAACATCAATCCTACTATGTTAATTTGTTCCCCATCCAGAGTAAAATGTTTTTTTGTTTTTCTTGAGATGGAGTCTTGCTCTGTCACCAGGCTGGAGTGCAGTGGCACGATCTTGGCTCACTGCAACCTCCACCTCCTGGGTTTAGTTCTCCTGCGTCAGCCTCCTGAGTAGCTGGGGCTACAGGAGCACGCCTCCACACCCAGCCAATTTCTGTATTTTTAGTAGAGACAAAAATAATCTTCTATCCTCACCATGTTGGTCAGGATAGTCTGTTAACCTCGTGATCTGTCCGCCTCGGGCTCCCAAAGTGCTGGGATTACATGCGTGAGCCACCACGCCCGGCTGGTGAGATGTTTATGTAGATTATGACTGGTGGTGGCGAGTGTTTGATCCTGTGCTACAATAATTTTGCAGTCTTTGGAGTCATACTGTCCAAGCTCAGATCATGGCTCTACCACCCCATAGCTGTACGATGTTACCACATTAAGTTTTCTGTGCATTGGGTCCCTCCTTTGCAAAATGAGGATAAGATTAAATTGAATTAGGTAAGGTTCTCAGAACAATTCCTGGCACATGGTAATTTCTCAGTAAGCCTCTAGCTTTTGGGTTTGTGTCTGGGAGATTTATTGTTGTCACTCTATCTTTCCTAAGATGCTGACAGGATAGCAGTTTTGACAGACTGAAGCTATTCTTAATGACTAGCCTATTATTAACATAATTTAAAAATTTTGTTAGCCACTGGTACATAATTCTACTTCACTTTTGAACCTATAGCTTATTCATTGTGCCTTTCCTCCCTACTTCCTGTCTCTCTTTTGAATCTTAAATAAAAAATACAAGACTGAATTTTGTTTGCTCTCTGGTTTAAAATAGGAACTAACATCCTTAGAGAAGGCTGCTAAAATTAGTTATTGTGCTTTAATATAAATGTTACATGGAAAATGAAGTATTGATTCTGAAATTCTCTAGGCAATGAGGAAAGGTCTACTAGATGTGCTTCCAAAAAATTCATTAGAAGATTTAACGGCAGAAGATTTTAGGCTTTTGGTAAATGGCTGCGGTGAAGTCAATGTGCAAATGCTGATCAGTTTTACCTCCTTCAATGATGAATCAGGTAGGACATTTTAAAAAATGTTTGAAGAATGAACTATTTAGATAGGTCAGTCAGCATTTTCTGAGTTTCTGCTTCTTAGACCTATTTATAGGGCTTGGGAATTTGCTGTATTATTTAAGCATTAAATTTTTTTTTTACATTGTTTTAAAAGAAGTTTGAACTAAATAGTATTTTGATGGCTTAGTATTAGGTTATTAACTCTTTACTGCTTAATCTTTCTAGGTTTCAAACAAAAATTTTTCGTGGTGAGCAACTGTGTAAAAAAGGATTTGTATATACTGATTAAGCAAAAGGAATCCCTGGCCGGGCGTGGTGGCTCACACCTGTAATCCCAGCACTTTGGGAGGCCGAGGCGGGCGGATCACAGGGTCAGGAGATTGAGACCATCCTGGCCAACATGGTGAAACCCCATCTCTACTAAAAATATAAAAATTAGCTAGGCATGATGGTGCATGCCTGTAGTGCCAGCTACGCAGAAGGCTGAGGCAGGAGAATCACCTGAACCTAGCAGGCAGAGGTTGCAGTGAGCCGAGATCACGTCACTGCACTTCAGCCTGGTGACAGAGTGAGACTCCGTCTCACAAAAGAAAAAGGAATACATATGACAACTCCCGGCTTTTCTGATTCATGTTGCTTAAGCTCCCTAATGAAAGAATTTGTATGATGATTGCTTTATAGAGCTGGACCTAAATCATACTTCTAAAAACACAGTAGCACACAAACACATGGAGAATCTAGGAGGAATAAGGAGTGGTGATGATAATTCTCTTGGAAGAAAAACCTTTATCTCCAGTGTTTGGCTGCAGTTCTTTCTTTTGAAAGTCCCATGGTCTAGGAATAGGCTTTTTAGCTGTGACTATACATTAGAAGCTCCAAGAAGTTCTCTGAAAGCATTATACCTATAGTCCAAGATTATTATGTACACAAAGGTACTGTTTTTTTCCTTTATTTTTCCTATTTTGCAAGCAACTTTAGCCAAATTATATATTGTAATAGTTTTTGTCCTACATTGTAATACAGTTTTTAATACTAGTAAGAATTTGTCTCATGTACAAACCAAAAATTTAGGAAGGAAAACGAAGTATCCAAAGAAACTGCCTAAGGTCTTGCCACTCCAAGTGTGATCCTCAGATCAGCAGCATGGGCATCACCTGAAAGCATTTTAGATATGCAGAATCTCTGGTCTTCCCCCTCTGCATTCCCCACCCAGTGAATGAAGGAGAATCTTCATTTCTTGAGGTCCTAAGAGTAATGACATACAGATAAAAGTCTTGTGAATATCAATTTTGAGGCTGGTGGTTTGTCTTGTTTTGGTCAGGATTGACTAATGAACTATAGAGGTTTTACATTATGCAAATGCTGTTAATTCCCTGTATTAAGAATTAGACCCCTCCCCCAGTTTTAATCTTGTATCCTATAAGATTAATAATATTTTATAGATAACTGATATAGTATATTTTATTTACATTTTTCATTCTTAGGAGAAAATGCTGAGAAACTTCTGCAGTTCAAGCGTTGGTTCTGGTCAATAGTAGAGAAGATGAGCATGACAGAACGACAAGATCTTGTAAGTTCATGAGATTTGTAGAAGGAAATATAAAACTTAAAAATACCATGTATGATGGCCTTTTGTTATGGTTGGTCATTTTAATTTTGGGTAGAGCAATTTTAGAAGGTCACAAGTAAGGAAGTTCTTATTTTTCTACTCTTTAACAATATCTGAAGTATTTACTAAAGCTCTAAGCAGAGTGAAGTACATTTAGCTGTTAATACGCTATCTAGCCCCAGAAGATACCAGTTTATTGTTGCAACATGGCCTTTTATCCTTCCTTATTGTATTGCTTACATATGTTTCTCCCTGCATACATCCTTAATCCTTTCAACTAATCCTGATTGTTGTCTGCATACTAAGAGGAGAGTAGCTTGTGATATGTGGGAAGTCTTTCAAAATGTTGTTAGTAAAGAGTCCCAGCTTAGAATTACAGGTAACAGTAGCTTTGATCTTAGTGGAAAGTCTACCAAGTCAGTGGAACTTATATCCACCCTCAAGTAAAACCATAACCAAATCATCCTGCCCATTAATCTTGAAAGGCATTATGCTGCAGACTTGTAGAAATTTGAAGGACATTCCTTATCAAGAAAACCCTGGAGGATCCTTTCTATACTCTTACTCTTCATAGTTCCTGGAACATTTCCCTGTCTAACCAGTCTTCGTTCTAAACTAGACCACTCATGGAAAAAAGTGATCAGATTTCTAGATACATCCTTCATTTTATTTGAATATGGGGAAATGGTTACTTCTGCAGGAAAGAACAAAACTTGCAAATTCCCAGTTACCTTCATTTAGGGAGCAGCTTATTTTGGGGGTGGAGGGGCACTCATGCTTTTAGCACTCCTGAATCTTTACATGGCTGTGAGAGAGCCTTCTAATACTTCTCTGCTATGGCGAGATAGGTTTGTTCAGCCGTTCTAGCTGCCACCTAGTTCATTTCTCAGCTTTTAGCCATCCTGGTAATTTTGACTTAGGTTGTTCCCCGGGTGGGATTGATATAATTGGTCAGTATTTTACTTCCCCAGTCTTGTGGCTATTGAAGTTCCCACTAGTACCAATACCATACCCCGTCCCTGTCGGTTTCAGGATCATCTTAATAGCTTAAGCTCTACCACCTTTAGTCTTTAGATTCAGGGCACCCTGTTTCCTTAAGACAAGGCCCATATCGAGTGTGTAAGAACCACCAAAAACAGAAATAGAAATGATTGGCTATCCGGTATAACTTAGAAGTTATCTGTTTCATTCTATTCCCTAGTTTTAATTTTCTGCTGTTTTTAAACCCGTATTTCCTCATTCCAGTCAGCCAACTTAAATCTCATGGCAGTTTCTGCCTTCTACTGAAAGAAAAATTTGCTAGTGACTCAATCTTAGAAAAAAGAAAATCTCCTTCTATAAAGACTTCAAAATTTCTTGCCAACACATTTAATTTGTGAGTCTTAAACTCTTTTTGAAAATCTATGTTTAGGGTATAAGCAGTATATCATGGTATCTTGCTCCCCCTTACCCTTCTCTTTCGGGAAATCATTCTTCACATATTGTTGGTTTCATCCTTTTCCATCTAGAGGACTTAAGTATGGGGTTTTTGAAACAGCTCTCCCATGAATTAACTAGTCCTGCAAAGTCTATTTCCCTTCTGGAGTGTTATAATTCACTAGTAAGAGTATTTATCTTCTTCCTTCTTCTTGGCGATCCAGCATTGAGGTTATCTATCTGATTAACCACATTCATCCTTGGAGAAACACTTTACATTAAGCTTGTTTCTTATCTATGAAATGAGTGGTTTGCATCAGCTTCATCTCTAGAGTACCACTTTTGTGTTTCTTTTCAGATTTTATAGATCCTGATACTTTTCTTTTTCTGTCCCTTTATATAGAATTCTAGATGAGCTTTCCCATACAAGGTTTCCTAGTTATTCTAGGAAATTGGATATACTTCAGTGTTAAGTTGTGCATTATAAAGGGATTAGATTTAAAAAGATACAGACACTGAGGAATGATTCATATGTATGTATGAATGAATGAATGGATGAATTGACGAGGAATGTTACATGTTGAGCGAAATACTTCAGAGAAACATATCCTTGGTTATATTTAAGTTAAAGAATATAAGTTATTAATAACATTTACTGAGCATCATTTAAACTGTATTGCACCAAGTTTTATTATAGATAAAACTTAGTGTTTATATTGCTTATTTCATGAATTCTGATGCAATAATGTTCCCCAATAATAACTATTAGAAAATGATTCTGTATCACAACATAGCAGTAAATACTTGCTTGATTTATTATTTGCTCCTTAATGTAAAATAACTTAAGATAACCTGTGTGAATTTTTTTTTGGTTGGGCAGCCTTGTGCCTTTTTTGCCCTAATAGACAATTTATGGAATTCAGCTTCCAGAAAGGCTCTTAGAAACCGTTTAGTCCCACAGCCTCATGTTACAGGTGAAAATCCTGAGGCTCTGAGATAGTAGTGGAGGAAAAATGACTTTCTTAACTCTAGACTTACTCCCTTGGGGGGCGAAAGTAAAAAAAAAAAACCCTGTGTTGAGGTATGAATGATCCCTTTCCATTTATAACTCAGTTTAAAATAGTATCTCCTTTTAGGTTTTAACATAATAATAGGGCTCTGTATATACTGTCAGAGTTAAAAGTTAAATATTAACTTGTTAAATTCCTGTTTAGGTTTACTTTTGGACATCAAGCCCATCATTGCCAGCCAGTGAAGAAGGATTTCAGCCTATGCCCTCAATCACAATAAGACCACCAGATGACCAACATCTTCCTACAGCAAATACTTGCATTTCTCGGCTTTATGTCCCACTTTACTCCTCTAAACAGATTCTCAAACAGAAATTGTTACTCGCCATTAAGACCAAGAATTTTGGTTTTGTGTAGAGTATAAAAAGTGTGTATTGCTGTGTAATATTACTAGCTAATTTTGTAGATTTTTTTCCATTTGTCTATAAAAGTTTATGGAAGTTAATGCTGTCATAACCCCCCTCCTCCCCATGGTACCTTAAAGAGATAAAATGCAAACATTCCTTGCTGAGTTTATAGCTTAAAGGCCTGAGGAGCACTAGCAACATTTGGCTATATTGGCTTGCTAGTCAACAACTTCTGGGTCTAACCCCAGCCAAAGATGACAGCAGAACAACATAATTTACACTGTGATTTATCTTTTTGCTGAGGGGAAAAAAAATGTAAATGTTCTGAAAATTCACTGCTGCCTTTGTGGAAAGTGTTTCAGCAAAGGTTCTTGTATAGAGGAAATAGGGAATTTCAAAATAAAAAATTAAGTATGTTCTGTGTTTTCATTTTAACTTTTTTTATGGTGTTTAATTTGTGGTTGGCTGCAATTGTGTATCATGTATATGGAACTTGTAAAAAAGTTCTCGACATTCAGATCTTAAGAGATGAAATCACTTTTACCTATAAAAACCACTTTTATTGCGGTTTATTTTGACTGCATTGAGCTCTAGGATATTAAATGATATCACTAATATTTTGCATGTAATTTGCTCATTTGAGTGAGGGCACTTTTTTTGTACATATGATGGGGCCAATGCACAATACTTTATCACAATCAACCTTTTCTTTGTATCCCTTTTTCAATGAGCAGTCAGTCAAGGGGTTACTGCACTTCAGTTCTAACTAGACATTTGTACTAAGGTATTTCAGTTATGTAAACTCAGCCTGGGCACTTTCTGATAACTGTAAAATGTTTTATAAGATCATGATTATTGAAGATACATTTTGGAAAATTTTAAATGTTCGTGAGCAGCTTAACTACTTTTGTATCTAGCCTTTTTTAAGTATCTTGTTACATTTACTTTTTTAAATAAATAAATTACAGAAGAAATGTCAAGTAATATTGAAGAAACAGTTTTTATTTATGTAGTTGTACATTTTTAAACTAAGGGCAATACACTGACATGGTTATATGCATAAAAATTTTTGATTTAAAGAACTGGAAGTTTATATACACCTGGACTATAAGAAAAAGAAGAAAATCAGTCCACATTTTACAGTTAGCAGAGAATCCTGAATGGCACTGGCCTGGCCACCTTTTCTTTTTACAAATGGGGGAAGTGAAGTGTGACCCCTACTTGGCATAGGAAGTTAACTTACTTACTTAATAACTGACAGGTTCTTTTTTTGATGACCCATTAATTATGTAGTCTAGGATTAATATCCCAAAATTAACTGGTTTAAGTAGCTTTATTCAGTGGCATAACAACACTGTTTTCTTTACTAAGTCTTCAATGAAGTGACTTAAAACAGTCACTTTATATGTTAAAAATGAGGACAGCAATTCTCTGGAATCTCTCCTACTTTTCAGTTCCTTTGTAGGACTTCCTGCCTTGAGGATAGTCTTCATGTTCAAAGGCACTATGATTTTATTATATAGCTTTCTTCAGAAGACTAAACCACATGATATTCTCAGCCCTGTTAACACTAAAAATATTTAAAACTTAGTGAAAGTAGTGACTCATTGTATTACTTAAAACTTATATAACACGCTATATTAGATGTGTATAAATTAGCCAAAGGTTATTTTACAAAGCGAGACATTGGTTTTTATGTCTAAATGCTATTTCTGAATAAGTGAAATAGTAATTAGATTAAGAGCTGATAGCATCAATGTGTTTGAAAGATAAACAATTTATCACCTTAACCTTTGTATGCACATAATGGGATTGATAAAATATTAAATGAGAACAAACTAGATATGATTAGGACATTTGAAACCCTAATTGTGAATTTATTTTTAATAGTTACTGAAATAATGAAAATATTTAAAATAATGCACAATGTCTTAAGTCTTCCTAAATCAAGATTTTGGTTTAAAAAAACTTCTAGTAATATTAAAAGATTTTTTTTTTTAAGTAAATCATAAAACGGTTCTAAATGTAAAATAAAGACATGTAAAATAAAGTTCTCTTTTGGTCTTGTTTAGTGTTTAAACCTAACAATTGAATACAAATTTAGGAAGAGAAGACCAAGAATGAACTTTACTGAGTATTTTCAGAGTTTGCTGCTACCATTTTTTTCCCCTAAATCATCTGAATACAAGACTATACAGTGTAATGGATAACTGGGGCAGACTTGGGAGGGTATTTTAAAAGAATGATTTGACTATTTAGTAGCTGCCCTCAAACAACATCCCTCCCATAAAGATAATATTTTTATATGTTAAAGGTAGTCATCAATTCCTGTGTTTAAACTCAAGTTGAGACACTTACCTTGAGGCAGTAGTTCCCATGCTTCTGTATGTTGTAGAGTTTGTTAATGCAGTTTCTTAAGCATTCCTCATCTTCTTGCTCCCTTTCTGCTTCAGTTTTTGGTAGAGGCCACAAATCTTTATTCAGATCATCCCAGGTGATTCTGAAGCACTGCCCAAAGAACATTCCTTTTTATTTACAAATACAAATGCCCTGTTGAAAGCTCCTGAGAGCCAAATCTTTCCTACTTACAACCTATGAAAAAGTACATCTATTGATAAACTAGTCCTAGATTGGATTCTTCCTCCTGATAATGGGCTGGTTGGAAGTGCCTTCAACAGTGAATGAAAATATTTTTACTTTTTACATCAATCTCTGTAAGTAGGCATGAACATAGATTTGAAACCATTTGATAACCACAAGTGATAACTGTATGAAAAACAATAGAAATGTATTTAAAATGTGGCTTTTAAATTTACCTCAAGGTATCCTGGGTTAAGGAAAATATCATCTTCTTAAAATTCAAAAAACACGACCATGAAAATGAGAGTTTCTCTAAATTACTATTATTATAGTACTTACTATGTGCCATACTTTTTTTTTTTTTTTTTTTTTTTGAGAAAGAGTCTCACTCTGTCGCCCAGGCTGGGGAGTACAGTGGCCCGATCTTGGCTCACTGCAACCTCTGCCTTCTGGGTTCAAGCAGTTCTCCTGCCTCAGCCTCTGGAGTAGCTGGAACTACAGGTGCATGCCACCACGCCTGGCTAATTTTTTGTGTTTTTAGTAGAGACAGGGTTTCACTGTGTTAGCCCAGGATAACCAGGATGGTCTCAATCTCCTGACCTCATGTTCCACCCGCCTCGGCCTCCCAAAGTGCTGGGATTACAAGCGTGAGCCAACGTGCCTGGCCACATTTTGTTGAGTGTTCCACATGTATTATCTCACTTGACCCCATGAGAAAGAGACTATTAATGATCCAAGAGCAACAGAGTCATAGGTCAAACAACTTGCCCAAAGTTACACATCTAGTTAGTGCTCAAGTGATTTACACCCCCAGGCATTCTGGTGCCTGTATATACTACACGTAGTGCTATACTATTCTCTGGAAGGTATGATTATAAGTGAGCTGGTCATAGAATAATCAGATATTCCAATGAAAGTCCTGGCTTCATTATGAAAAGGCAATAATTCACATATTTTTGCTAATTATTAAAAAAAAAAAAAAACGTTTTTGTCCTGCATAATTTTCCCCAAGGGTAACAGTTTGAACTCTGAAGACTTGTCTGAAATCAACCATGGTACTTAAAATGAAAAGCTTAACTTTCTAAGTTTTCTCATAAGGTATAAAGAGCTGCTTGCTCCAAAAGAGCAGACGTGTGTTTCATGGGTAAAGCAAAATAACTCAATTTCCTGAATCTTTTTCAGATGTTATTTCTGGCAGCTAAACTTTATATCAGCAGTTTGCACTGCTACAGGCTGACTTTGATACAAGTGGATCTCCAGGAAAAACACTACCAGGCCATGTATTTGTACCTGAAATGCTGTCTTCAATGGGGAAGATGAAATTTGGCTATTTATGATGTTTAAATGCATTGTCATTCTCTGACAAGCTTATGGCATGGTTCTGGTTAGATGTGTTTTGAGTTGGCCTTAAGAAAGTTATCTGTAAACGAAGTGCATCAGCCTCCCAGGTAGCCAACTACGTTTTTACATGTTCAGTTTTGTCTAATGAAATCACAGGCATTGTTACTACCTATAGAAATGGAAGGCTTATGTGATGATCACTTTCAATACATTTACTTTTTAGTAGCTTTATGGAACAAATACCTAAATTTGTGTTTTCTTAAAAATTCTGCCCACATAAAAACAGTTATAGTGATCCTCAACTATTAAAAGGGTTGGGGTACGGAGGAGTGAGCAAAAATGAAATAATCATAATACCCTCAAAATATAGGCACTCAAGTCCAAGTACAGTGATTAAAAGGAGAGAGTTGGATTCCTGGAGTTTTGATCATTAGGTTTCCGCTTTAACACAGACCAGAGTAGTAAAATTAAGACTAAGGAAGCTAGAAAACATTCAAAAAGCACAACATAAGCCATTTAATATAGAAACATTGGTTAGCACCAGGCCTAGAAGTCTGAATACTGCAGTGTGCCTGCTACATGACATGCCAGCATCCTTACCCAATTCAAAACAACAGTACTCGAGGCTAACGTTTACTTGACGTCAGGATAGCTATCCACTAAAAACTGTTCTATATACTCTGGAATAAAGTGGAGAAGCATGCATTTAAAAAGATATGTCTGATGTTGAAAAAGTTTTAAGATGTTAAATTCCATAACCTGAAATACAGGGCCTTGAACAAAGCACTTTTTCCCCCCCGCCCAGACAGACATGGAGTTTCGCTGTCGTCCAGGCTGGAGTGCAGTGGTGCAATCTTGGCTCACTGCAACCTCCACCTCTGGGTTCAATTCTCCTGCCTCAGCCTCCCGAGTAGCTGGGACTACAGGTGCCTGCCACCATGTCCAGCTAATTTCTGTGTTTTTAGTAGAGACAGGTGACCTTGTGATCTGCCTCGGCCTCCCAAAGTGCTGGGATTACAGGTGTGAGCCACTGTGCCTGGCCCTCACTCATATTTTTTGAATGCAAGAATTTATTTCTAAAAGATGCCAAATATTTGGAACCACTATATTACCTATAATAAATGAGGTAGTGGAGCACTATATAGAAAAGCTATGGTCCTTGACTTGGATGAGAAGTAATGTAGGTTTTCTTGATCACATGAACTTCTTGGAAGTACTGCAACATATTCTCTTATTTTTAAAATTAAACTTAAAGCAGATCTTGGGACACCTGTTTAAGGGAGGCAGAAAGTTGCCAATATTAAGGTACAGCAACTAAAGTGTTTAAGTGATCTAAGAAAGTGAAAAAGAACTAAGGTTTTTGTGCAGTTTTTCGTCATTCTGTACTTTCTCCTACTGCTAATGCCCTAAACCAAGAGAAGTTGATTGCAGTAACAAGAGGACCCCTGCCTGCCCTCCTACTGCTATGACTTTACCCTGAATGCTTCACAGATATTCCAACTCTCACCACCCTTGGTCCATCCATGTACTACTATCCGAAACTAGTTTACGTGCTCATCATCTGACTTCTCCAGTGACCCTCCACAATAACAGAGGCTATCAGAAACTCTATCCTTGTTCACTTCTCTTAAGCCCAGTGTGTACAACAGTGCCTCATCAAAACTCATTTATCAATCAGTAAGTTATCTAGTTACCATGTTAGAAACATGGAATCATTCAATTTCCTCTTTACCCCTACATTCTTATTCACCACCAAGCCCTATAGTTAAATACTGAGCTCTTGAATTCATTTACTTCTCTCCACATCCACTGTCATGACCTAACTTTATCACCACCTTTTACCTAGATTATATCAACAGCTTACAAACTAGTTTGTTTGTTTTGCTCTTTTTAATATGTAGGGGCACAACAATTTCTAAAATGCATATTAACCATTTTACTCATCTTTTTAAAATAACCCTGACTTTCCACGGATGGCCATGTAAGATTAAGTTCAAACTCAACAAGGCCCTTCATGATTGGAATCCTGCTTTACCGCCTTATCTTTACCTGCTACCTTGTTATACTGAAAGACTTACAGTCCCTTAGTGGGTTTTGACCTCTGTCACCTTAAAGCCTGTATAAATACTGCTCCCTCTGACCTTACTGCCCACTCTCTATGGCCCCTCTTGGAATGGTTAGTTCCTATTAATAATTCAGAATCCGGTTTATTCACCCCTTTGAGGTGCTCTCCTTGACCTGCCCTCCACCTTGACAAAACTGTTTTACTCTTTCTTTGTACTCCCTCTGAACAGTGTATCCGCTTCATTTCCCCTTCTCCTCCGTAAGTTCCTTAAGTGTAAAAACTGTGTCTCAATTACATTTTCCTCTCCAGTGCCCAGTTGAATGTTAAATTTATTGAAAGGATCAAATGACCAACTTCAGTACAATTTAGGAACATATTGTTGTAACCTGTTGATTTTATGTCACCTGGAACTCTGCACCTTTGAAATGTTGTCTTATCATCCAACTCAATGACCCAAAACTACTGTCCTTCGGTGCTCACACTTACAATGGGTAAAAGAAAGTTGTCTCCCTTCTTTTCTTCTGCATTTAGCCTATACATATTAGCAACTTATTCTGAAATAGTTAAGTGGGAAATGTTCTTTGTACTGCACTTGAAATTTTTTTTTTTTTTTGAGACGGAGTTTCTCCGTTGTTACCCAGACTGGAGTGCAATGGCACGATCTTGGCTCACCGCAACCTCTGCCTCCTGGGTTCAAGCAATTCTCCTGCCTCAGCCTCCCGAGTAGCTGGGACTACAGGCGTGCACCACTATGCCCAGCTAATTTTTGTATTTTTAGTAGAGACAGGGTTTCTCCTTGTTGACCAGGATGGTCTCAATCTCTTGACCTCGTGATCCACCCACCTCGGCCTCCCAAACTGCTGGGATTATAGGCGTGAGCCACTGTGCCCGGCCCCTCTTGAAATATTTTTTAAAAATCTGTATTGCTTACTGATTCTTTTGCAAAAACTGCTTTACTTATTATTCATTTGAAGGGTTGCTAAGTATGGCTTTCAGGTTGTCAGAGCTGGAACAGATCTATGGCCAAGCCAATCACTTCTGAACCACATTATTAAAAACCCCCAGTTGGATCTCATGAGAATCATGATCTTGGCCCAAAACAACTCATTGTTTTCCTACTAAGTAAGACTTCATTGGCAAAAGGTGCTGCTAACTGCCTAGTCTCTGGATTAGAAACTTGTCATCCTAGACTCCTCCCTCTACCCTATGCTCCATATCCAACCACTGATCTTGAGTACATTTACTTAACTCACATGCATGCATTCTTCTTGCATTTTCCACTACCACTGCCTTACTTCAAGCTTGCTTTATCCTGCACTTGGCCTATTCCAATTAGCTCTAAACTAATCTACCTCCAACATTTTCACTTTCCTTCACACTGGAGTCCTTCCTGAATTATAAATGAATGACTCATTAAATACAGACCTGTTTAGCGGTTTTCAAACTATGGTTCAGGATCTACCAACTTTCCACAAGCATCTTATTTTGATTCTTTATATACATGCAGCATCTTGAATTACCT